AGTAGAGGAGGGGATGGAAATTAACTGTCCATCTCTTGAGTCTGTTCGGATCGGTGGTTGTGATAGGCTGAAATACTTGCCAGATGCCCTTCCTAATCTCAGGAATCTCAGTCGATTGTGCTTGTATGGGTGTAAGAATTTGGAGTACATTCCGGAAGGATGGTTCCACTCTGCAACAAATCTGACATATTTGAATATCAGGGGATGCAAAAAACTGAAGGCCCTACCACACGGATTGCAGAGCATCAACTACCTCACTTCTCTTGAAGAGCTGTATTTGAATATTTCAGAATGGAACAACAACTTCAAGAAGATTGGTTTGCACTGTTTATCCTCTCTCAAAACACTGTTGATTTCAGGGGAAGAAGAAGAACATCCTATGGGTTCCAGCTTTCCGATAGATGGGATGTTGCTGCCCACCTCTCTGATCTGTCTTCGCATCTCAGGTTTCCGAAATCTGGAGAAGCTATCTTTTAAGTTGTTTCAAAACCTCGCCTCTCTTGAAGAACTTGAAATCCTTGGTTGCCCTAGGCTCAAATCTTTACCAGTGCAAAGGCTGCCTCCCTCACTTAAGGAATTGTTGATCGAGAGATGTCCGAGACTAACAGGGAAGTGTGAAAAGGGGAAAGGCAAATATTGGCCCCACTTAGCTCACATTCCTGACGTCGACGTCCGTGAGTGATCAACTCTGTGGAGATTCCACCGCAATACAAGCAGTCAAATTGCCAGGTATCAAAACAGAAACTAATTTGATAAATATAAACATTTAAAAATTATTTTCAGATTTTAAAAACAAAATATTTTTTCAAAAAGTGGAAAATCATAATGAAAAAAATATGTTAAATTTAAATTTGGAGGACCATTATGGGATGAGTAAATAATTTTTTAAATTTTGGTTGGTTTTGGAGGTTTCAAAAATAGTTTTAAATTTTTAATTCGTATTTTTTTAATATATTGACTCATTTGTTTTATTTTTAAATACATCTAATCTGCATATATTTTTAAAAAATTTAAAAATTTAAAAATTTTAATAAATACAAAATACATACAAAAACGTATTAAATTTGTATATTTGTTAATATTTAGTGATTTTTTAAACGATTTTTTTCATAAATTTTATATGGTTTAGGTTTATTTAGATTGAGTGTATCTAAAACTTAAAAAATATTGATTAAAATACTTAAAAAGTTCACTAAAAATAATAAAATATAGATTGAAACTTAAAAACTATTTTTGAAAGCTCCAAAACAAAACAGAGTTTTAAAAATTATTTCAAATTTGAAAATTAAATGACTTTTGGATTTTCAAATTTCTAAAAACTATTTTTAGAATATACAGCCAAACAAATTTTTAGAAAATTATCTGTCAAAATTGATTATGAAAACCAAGCCTTAGTTTGGGTTTTCTAGGCTGGTCATTAAAAAGGGCGTCTCCGATGTACGAAGCTCCTGTTTAAGCGGGGTTTGAGGAAAGGTTGATGTACGCAGCCTTACTCTCACAAGTAGAGAGGCTATTAATAAATTATTTTTGTATTTGTTAAGTTGTTGCCTATCTAGTGACCGGGAAAAGTCAGATTGAAAGTGATTAAGTTAGTACAAATTCTTGTTGGAGGGAGAATTTTTTGGCCGGTCAAATGAGGGTAATGTTAAAAATAAAAAAAATAAAAAATGAAAGAGAATGAAATGCTGTGAAATTATGTAAGTAGTTTGCAAATGCTGAGAAAAATTAAACAATTTTTTTGTTATTGTAAGAGCTAACTTAAAAAGTTACAAACAAATATACGCATATCAGGTGTCCAAATTTCATTTTGGTGAGCTGTTCTAATAAATATGGAAACTAAAAACAATTTTAATTGTATACTTAAGTTACATTTTTTGCATGAAAAGAATTTATTAAAGTATTAAGTTTTATCAATCTATAAGGGATTATTTGATGCAGAAATGTGCTTTCAAGGATCTGAATACAGAGAAAGATTTCTTCCGATAGATTTCCTCATCTGCTTTTATTTCCCGAGGAAACCACAACAAATGGAAGAGTCCTCATTTCTTTCCAACTTTGCGCATTTGTTCTTGGATATCCTGTCCATCCAGTGATTGTTCGCTATCCCCTTGTACACTTTGACCAATCCTGGTAAGAATTTTCTTTAATTGAAACCGTTTTGGTGTTGTCTTTTGTAATATCTCTACCTAATTTGCATCATATGGCCTTTCATTTTGTTTAGGGGAAATATAGCTTTGGGAAAGCTCATGTTTAGAATGTTCAGAGTTTCACAATTTCATGGAGGTATGTTGAGTGATTTTTTATTTATCTATAGTTACATATATTGAAAATGTAGTGAGTTTGGCTTCCCCAACTATTTTTGTTTGTAAAATTTTTGGGTAGTATGGTGTATAAGGTGGCAATTTATATATATAGGTTGTTATAGTGATGCCTCATTTTGCTATTTTTATTTTAATTACTAACTCACTCTCGTAGATCATCAATACTGATTATTCATCAGCTTAAATGTACATGCATTTATATGATGTGTCCCTGACTATATTATAATTTGAATTTTGGTTACTGGATAACTAGTATGTTGTAAAAAGTTGAATGAAGTCATTTATTGAATTGTACAGGTAGAGTATCTTCCTATTTTTTTACCCCTTGAAAATCTGTAGGAAAATGCTGCCCATTTTGCTCAGAGGGTGAGTCGACATTATTTGATTAATCTTTGTTTCCTTGTTGGCTATAGTTGATATTTTAATATTAAGTATATTCTTATACATCAAAGTTTTGAATGGGCACATTACATACAATTTGTTAATTTTTTGTATATTGTTAACATGTTCTGTATTTCATATGCTTAATCTCCTAAGCAATTCAGAACCAGTGGATGTATAACACACCGTAAATATTGTAATTGAATTTGTGTGATGTTCTGTCTACTGCATTTGTGTGTGGAAGCCTGTCCTTTTTTTTCGCATCTCTGCACAAAGAATTAGACAATTGATGAATGGCCTTTGGATTTAAAGTAATATTATATATATACAAAGATCAAAATTTCGTTTCGGTGTGTTGTCTCAAAAAGTACAGAAACAAAAACATCTCGGAAATATTTTATGAAATGAAGATCAAATCGAATGTTTGAAAATATAAATTGAAATATATCTAAATGTATAAAAGCCTAATAATTGATTAATTAAACAAATTGAGATTGATATAGTCATTTACGTAAAAGAATTAAAAAATTAATGTTACTATGAACTAAAAATTATTAAGTATTGTCAAATAAATCAATTTTATTAAACAAAAATTTCCAATAAGGTCTAAAAATTTACTGAAACGGTAGTAATAAATGTTTATGAAAATTTCTAAATTTGTATAGATACAGTATACTCTTTTGGTATATCACACTATGTTTTGGTATGTTTCACTATGTTTTGGCGTGTTTCAATGAAAACACTAGAATTTTTTTATTCCACTAGTGTTTCGTTTCAGTCTCTTGGAAAATGGAAACACTTCATTTCAATGGAAACAAATGACAATTTTGTTCCTCAAATATATTAAAGATAAATCCATATCAAAAAGTTTTTTATTCATGTGTTGTCTACGTTTTCCATGTTATTTGGTTCCAAACAAATGTCATATGGTACCTATTAAAATTGGGTGTAACTGCACATGCAACAGCCCTCGTATCTTCTATGTACACTATGTTAACTTACTACAATTGAAGGAATAGTTTCCTATTGTCCATCTTTAATTTGGAAAAATTTTCCCTTTTGTATTCTTTTACTAGCTGTTGGTGTATTGCCTTGATTCTTAGGGTCAAGTGACCCCACTGGAAATTTGAAAATCTGAAATTATTATTCGGACTTTTTGAAAATTTTATTTTACATGAGGTCAATCTTGTACACTAAAAGTATGAACTATTTTCATAAAGCATAGAGATTAATATATACTCATGTTACCTTTTTTTTCCTTTTAATATTTTAGTTATTCTTTTTCATTTTCTTCTTTCTTTGAATTCTTTTGTAGGTGTTCACGTGTTATTTACCTTATATATCACTATTTTCCTAATATCCAAAGAGATGATTACGACATTCTGTGACAGTTTAGGAGAGGATTTATGCTTATATTTAAAAAAGGTGGGAAAAAAAAAGAGAGAAGAGAACTTGTGGCGTTAAAAAGGAATTGCCAACAAACATGGTGTAGTTTTCTTCAATTAAATTAATTAAACAAATCTTATGTTCAAAGGATATATTTGAATTAAATTTGTTCAAAATTTTAATGAAGGAAAATATTATCCATTTGTGATTTACAGAATCAATTGTTTAACTTTATTAGCATTTATGGAATTTTAGTATTAGTGATGTAAGCGGTCATTTATTCGATTTTTGTAAAATTAACTATTCTGGTTTTTGCTTTCATTATGGTATTTGTAATTTGGTAACTATAAATTACTTTATCTAGTTTTGTATATTACGCAAGTTTATTAGCATAAATTATGTGTAATTGAAGGTTGATATTAGTAGTGAATTGTTTAATGGACGTTTCTGGCTCCGCAATGGTTGATTCTTAGAACTTATTCTTTGTAATATGGAGGAGAATCGTATTTTTGTGAACTTGATGATTATCTAACAGCACACTCCATTTTGGATTTGTCTTGATTTGCCATTTGAGCTGCCTTGAGTATATATATCATTCTCTCTAAGTTATTTGTGGATATTGAGTTTTTAATCTATCAATTCATCCCTGATGGATATATGCAGACTAGCAATGCTCTAGCTACCTTTCTTAATGTTACAAATGAAGAAGTTATTGAAACTGAATGATTTTCATTAGATTGAAAACTCAGATATACAGTACCTTATATACACTACACATGTTTACAAAATATTTAACTAAAACATCTACCTAACTCACTCTGTTACAACAAGTTGAATTAACACTAGACTTGTTTGGTTTGCAGGACAACATATCTCTAGTCTAGTCTTAGATTGAATCCTGGATTGCTGAGTCTTGATTGGTTACACTAACTGTACAAACATCTCATTCCTATGGGGACATCATGCAGCTTGCAAAAGCTTCCGAGTCCAAACAAGTCACTTTTCGTGCTCCATGTGTTTTGGCTTTATAGTTTATCTTGCTTTTAGGTCGCAAAAATGATCTTGTACTTCATTCAAACATTCTATGAAGTGCTAGATTTTAGCTCTTAAACTTAATTTGATGGCCTTTTTCGTGATGGGCCAAGAATATTTGATGCAGCTGCAATGATGGAATTTATATTGTCTCCTTGGGATCTCGTAATGTATTAGGTGTAGGCCTTGAAGCACACCATTTGATGCTTATAATTCCTCTCTTCCAAAATAAATAAGTTGAATCAATGTTTTTATTAATGACTATTGATTAATCTATATATTACTGAATGGAGGAAGGATCATAGATTAATTTGAAAAAATAAAGGTGAAAAACGCACCAGAGAAGTTTTGGAAAAACTGATGTGCCAGTAAAAGGTTTTTTATTCCTTTACTTCTAGCAAGGAGATTTTTCCATCTCAAATGGAATCTTGAAATAGATCTTTAAAATGTAAATACAATATTACTTCTATCTATATTAATTGGTTTCTTTTCTATGGTTTCAGTAAACTTTGAATTGCTAATCAATGGAACATGAAAAAATAAAATACCTTGGAAATGAAATTTAAGGTCGTAATTTTGTGGGAAAGAGAGTATAGATGTTTGGTGCATTATGTCTGTGTCATAGCACTTGACATGTACACCTTGAATATTTAGTGAAGGTGTAGATAAGCCAAATCAAGCAATATATCTTGCAGTCCAAATTCTTAAGCATACTTCTAGCTGCTTAACCTTGGCTGGTGAGGAGTAGATTGTTTTCAAACTTGGCAAGAGCTAAGCCAATCTTGCTCAATTGATAAGTGTATCATCATTGCATAATGGGTAATCCATTATGGAAAACTCGAATATCGGTGTAAGGTGCAGGTATGTGTCTAGGTGTTGGATTTATCTAATTCTCATGTCCAAGGACACCACAACATGACTAGATTTCATATTTGTTCAACATTTTTTTTATTCAGTAATGATACGTAGCTCGAAATTTCCAAGTTCAAATTTGCCCCGAATCCAAAACGACGTCGTTTTAAACGGTAGTTTCATTTTATGAGGGGGTTATTTAATGAAAATTATCTTACCGGTAAGAGAATTTTAATATATCTTATCGGTAAGAGAATCTAAAACGGCATCATTTTAAGTTTCGAGCCAATTCGAGCCAACTATTTTCGAGCTTCCAAGTATTATTCTTTTTTATTTTATATTTTTTTAGCATAGAATGGTATTTGCTACAAAAAATTGAGCATTTTATGAATGAAATGGAAGTCTAATGCATAGTGATATAGTAAACTCAAACCATTTAGACATTCTTGTTTGGTGCATGTCCAACTAGACATGCCAGTTGCATTTCCCATACGGAACCCTTACCCTTACACATGTGGCATGTCTATGTATCGGGCACATCCATGTGGCTTGTCAAATTATTAATTATTATTTTTTGCAAAACATGATGGGAACACTTCACGGACACATGTCCTGTGTCTGAATAATTCTCTTAGAAAATTGATTTGGGTTCAAAGTAAATATAGGGAAATGGGGGAGAGAAGTGAAAAATAAATAAATAGTAAATACACCCACATATAACACCGATGCTTCTCATATCTTTGTGCCCTAACTTAATGTTCATACACATAGCAAATAAATATATATAAAAGAAATTCCGTACCCCCCGTGTTCGTATCTTAATTTTTTGAGAATTCCATGTCCCATGTCTATACTCATATCCAGGTCTCTTAGGCTACCACTGTGAAACCTAAAAGGATACACGAAAGCACTTCACTTTCGAACTCAACTGAGATATCAAATCCATTCATACATTAGCACCTTCTTGATACACAAAGCCAACCAAATGGAAAACAACAAATATAATTTTTTTTTACTTTAAGCTCATATGATAGAAATCCATCTCTTAGGCTGTGTTTGGATCATAGATTTGGGTTTTTAAATTTCTATCCAAATCTATTATCCAAACACAGTCTTAGTAGATGCATACTACACAGAAAGTTTTGGGTGCCTACAATTTTGGATTTTGAGTTTTAGGAGACCTAATCCTCCAAAATTGTCCTAAAATGAATTTTCCTTCACTACAAGAAAATACACCTTCGGCTACTAAAAAATTAGATTTTTTAGTCGCCCAATTAGTCGCCGCAGGCATGTTGGCAATAGTATTTGGTGACTAAATTTATGTTGGTCTATAATTATCTTTTCTTACTAAATCTAACTTAATCCCTAATTGACACCTTTTGGCGACTACAATTGTAGCCGCCGAAAGTTCTTAAATAAAAATAAAGTTCTCTATTAGTGACTAAAATATTTAGTGGCTAATATGTTTTAGTCGCCAATAGAACTACATTTAGCGACTAATATTTTGGTCGCTGTTTTATGTCACATTTAGCCACCAAATAGTTTAGTTGCCATTGTTTTTTACGACTAAACATTTTAATCGCCAAAAAAATAAATATTTTCATCCCATTGTATTTTACGACAAAACATTTTAGTCACCAAAGGATGTCATAAAAGACTTTTGTTTTTGCTTTTGTTTTTTTTTTTTTTACTACTAAATATTTAGTCACCAAATATCTTTGCTTGCTTTTTCAGCCGCCAATTATTAGTCATCAAAAACTTTACTTTTTTTGGCTACTAAATGTTTAGTTGCCAAAAACTTTATATAGTGTTTTTTTTTATTAATTTCTCAACCAACTGTATTTATTCCATCATTAATGCAATATGTACCCTGTATATAAACAAAACAATACATATACCGATTATATTATCATTCCACAATGTGTGCACACATTTCACTTTCAACCATCCAAAAAATTCATATTTAATGTCAAATTCCAAATATAATAGATTTCCATACAAACCAATCATAATCCAACCTCAAAAATAAAATTCCATATGAAACAGAGGATTATTTAAAAACCATATCTTCTGTACACAAAAAAGTAATATCTACAATATCATGCCACAAGGTAATATGTACCATGCCAAGTTGAGAGTAATCTGTACCACGTGAATAAAGTAAATTGTACCACGCAAAAAAAGTAATCCGTACCGCACAAATAGTTATCTGTACAAACAATAGTAATCTGTAGAAAAAAACCAATGTCTTCCATAGACAAAAAAAAGCCGTATCCAAAATTCCACGGCAAAAACCATCTGTAAAAATAAAATTACTCATTAGTATTGATTTTTTATTGGCATATTTAAAATTATAAAAGAAAATCATATAAAACTCGAATGTATATATAAAAAAATTATATAAAACTGAGGCATATGCAAGGCAACCAGTTATCTTTTCAAAGTAATCATTGTAGGTAATTAATCATTAGTTTTGCATTTTCCCCCTTTGAAAACCTTTTTCGACTAAATTTAAGATGTTTTCAACCCTAACTCCCAACCAATGTGTCATATTTACGTACCGTCTGTCCCCACAAGTTGTATTTGTCACGAGGAAGCTGCACGTGACATCCATTGACTGGTTTGGGGGCTGTTTTGCATGTTTGCCTTCCGAACGTCCTTTTTTGACTAAATTTAAGGCGATTTCGACTCTAACTCCCAACCTATGTATCCTATTTACAGGCATAACTCTATTGTAGACTTTAATTCCTTTTTACTACTGCTTATCTGAAAATCTAAGTGATTCGTGATTAGATCAAGGTTAAAATATTCCACATCCCAAAAAACCAAAACACACAATCTAAATCAACAAGCACTTACGAAAGTGATTTAGATTGTTTGTTTTGTCAGATTAAATAATAAATCGACACAAACGATTTTTACGTGGAAAAAAACCACAATTGGACACCTCCAACTGTGATTAAAAAAACCACGGGCGAAACGCCATAAATCAATCCACTACTGAAGTAAGAAGATTACAAAGATATCTTACAAATTACCCAACTTAGTCAATCTGTCTTCGAATCTTCTGTAACTCTTTTTCACGACTTCATCTCGGAACTGATCAATCTTGAAGTTGATTCCACAACCTCACCCACATATAGAATCAAACACCTTTCGAAACTATATGCTAGAATCTTCGGAATCCACCGAAGAGAACTCTCTCTTCAATTTAAAGAAATCAACTCCTTGATGTATGTATTTTAGATCCTGAGTGAAGAACTCTTCTCAAGACATCAAGAAAAAACTCTCAAAAATCTCCCAAGAAGACTTTTAAACTCAACCCTAGTTTGTTTTTAACAGATCTAGGAAAAACGTATCCAACAAAACAACGTTAGCAGCTTTAAATAGGAATCTGAATCCGCGATCTCCGCTCGAGCTCAACATAGCCTGCTCGAGCGGACTGAACAAAAACTGCACACGAAGAAACAGAGATGCGCTCGAGCGTAGAAGTTTCTGCTCGAGCGTCAAATCACACCTTCCAGTATCTGTGCTTACCCTGTCAAACTACTGTGACCTGCTAATCTACGCTCGAGCTCAAGAGTCTCCGCTCGAGCGGACAGTACAAAAACAGAAAAACATAGTTTTGAATCAACATAAGATTTTGTCTCCGGATTTGACAACACAGGGACCTAACATTATCTATGTGTTCTAGATCAAATCAAGGATCATACCTAGGGGATCAAGTGCCCAGAAACTATAGCTTTCTCTTCCCAAAAATAGTAATATTAATATATCTATAATACTTTGAATAATTTAATTTTATATTTCTTAAGTTATTTGCATTCACCAGATCACACTGTTCAGTTGAACTAAAACACTGTATAAGAATATAGCAAAATGTATCCATTCAATAGACCCAACGGAACAAAATATCAAAATATCCATGTGTCATAACCAAAAGACAAAGACAAAACAATATCCATGTACCAACAAATATCCATGTACGACCAACAAATACTACCAACAAATACGACCATGTATCAACAACAGAATATCAAAGCAAACTATACCATGTCCAATCCACAGCAGCAGGATCCAAACTCTCCCCCTTTTTGACCGGGAATGAAGAAATCAAGCACCAGACGGAGGAGGGGGTGGCTGAAGCGTCAGTAAGGAAATGATGTGATCCAGCTGCGAAGTAGTGTGAGCAGCAGTCTGCTCCAGCTGACCAAGACGACCATCAAAGGCATCAAAACGCGCATCGAGAAAGTCTAACCGCCTGGTCATAGCCGCCTCAAAATGCCGAAGCTGATCAGGAAACGAGCTAGGTGGAACAGATGGAGTAGGATCCTCCGCACCCCCGGTACCATGGACAGCCTTCTGTTGCCCTCAAGGACATTATGAGTGGCTAGTTATGCCCTTTGGATTAAAAAATGCACCTTCCATATTTCAGCGCAAAATGGATAGTATATTTAATAAATATAGTTTTATACTGGTATATATAGATGACATATTAGTGTTCAGTCCAGATAAAAGTAGTCACATAGATCATTTGTATATAACATTAGAAGAATTCATAAATAATGGAATAATAATCAGTAAGAAAAAGATGGTATTAAATAAACCCTACATAGAATTTTTGGGAATGGAGCTAGGAGATGGAAAAATTAGGTTACAACCTCATATAGTCAAGAAAATTTTAGACTATCCAGATAAATTAGAAGATACAAAACAACTTCAATCCTTTTTAACAACCACCAACATCACAGAACCAAAGTCCGGAAAAATAACAGATACGAAAAGGGAAAACTAGAACGGTGATTGGCAATACACGACAAAATGAATCCTTGGTCTTGTTTGACCTCGGAAGAATGTGTGGTGACAAGGATGTTGGCGCAGACAATCAAATTAAGCAGTCTGAACTCCGGAAGAAGTTCAAACTGTTTAATCAAACCGCCTTTAGGCCAATGACGGGCAACACCACAAAGTTCCAAAGACACCTCATCGAAGTCACAAGTCGGACGATCCGGTACAGGAAATGGATAGTATTGGGGAGAACCCTGCTCAATCTGAAGTAGTTGGCGAATCAAAGCAGGGGTGACAGAAATGGATTTGGACCTAACCCAAGTGGTGAAAGAAGGCTCATAATCCCTAATACCCTCCATATTACAGTAGAATTCTCGAACCCAATCGAGATTCTGACGCCCCGAGAATAATAAAACACGGTCACCTCCTAGAGGGTCGAACAATGGACGTATTTTGATGGACTCAAAGGTATCGGGTTGAACATTACGTTCTAAATGAACGGTTCGAGTCACAAATGATTTATGGTATGACTTGGATTGAGAGGCTGACTGAAACCTCTCAGGGTTAAAGGTAGGGCGTGAAACGGTGGCCTTTCGGCGTTTTGGGGCAGGAGCAGACATACCGAAGAAGACACTAAGACACCCAACAAAGCAGCAAACCCAAAACCCAACCCAAACCAAAACAAACCAAAACACAACATTAGTGCAAGAATCAAATCAAAAACAGGGCATAACAAAAAAAACAGGGCATGAAAGCATGGTATTGAAGAACTCATAATTAATACACAAAATGTGAGTGAAATTACCCAGAATAAGTATGAATCATGAGAAAATCACAGCAATGTATCTAAGCCCAAAGTGAGACCCACACAAAGATACCTCAACAGCCCAGTAAAGGAGGAACACAGATATCTTCAAAATACCACAGACACAACACAAGAACAAAAAACACAAACAAAAAAAACAGACAAAGAGACAAAGAAAAAAAATGAGAGAGAGAACCACAGACACGACACACAACACCCCACAAAGCTAGAAACCCAACAATCAATCGAATCAAATAGAACAAGAAAACGGGAAAAAAAGAGAGGATAAAACTTACCAACGAGCAAATCAGTGGAAAGGATGATGAATGGGAGGAGAATCGACCACAATGCAGCCACACGACCAACCCTAGATCGAGAGAATGAAACAGGAAGAGAAAAAAACTTATGTCTATAGTCGCTGTAGATTTACCATGTTGAAAAAATGATTACAACTTTCTCTTAGGAGTGTTCGCTATTCGGTTGCGGTTGGAAAACTTCAAATTCGCTATTCGTCCACCGAATTAGAGGATTGAAAAAAATCAATCTGGATTTATTCGCCAGATTGACAGATGTGAATTGAGCAGATTAGTGTATTGATAGATGGATGCGAATCGGTTTGGCGGTTTAAATTTTTATAAATTTTGAACATTTTTTTTTTTTTTTTTTTTTTTTTTTTTTTTTTTTTTTAACAATCCAATATGCAAAATCACGGGGTGAGACCTGAAACAAAAATAGATGATCAGACAGAGCCAAATGAATACCACGATGAAAAAATCCACAATTCATGAATCGTGTGAACTTGCACCTTTTTTTTTTATTTTAAAAGAAAACGACACTTGAAATCATGAGCATAGCAAAAAAAAATATAATCAGTGATCATAAGCTACATGAGAATGTACACCTCAAAATCCCAAATGAGAGCTCACATAAAAAAGTGTGTGTGTGCAATCCATGAGAGGTCACTGAGCTAGAGTTAATCCTAGTAGTGATCGGATGGCTGGACCTCCATCAAGAGTAACTCAACAACACAGTGAAAAGTCAAACCACTAGGAATCACGGGGTATTTGTTGAGTAAATGCGGAGGCCCCCCCTCAATCAAAGAGTCCCTTTTTTTTTTTATTTTACATTTTCTTTCTTGTGGGCACTCACTGGTGGCTTTCACTCTCAAGAGTATGGAAACCAAACCAGAGAAAAATGAAATCATAAAGGATGGCCTGGTTGGTGCCTCTGAGGTAGCCTTTTCCTAATGCCCGGACTTCAGGGAACTGAGGGAGAAACCGTGGAAGTGAAAACAGATGGTGGATGGTTAAGAGACTCAACATCACCCATGATATGCTAGTATCGGTCAATTCCACAGTAAAAGTACAAGAAACACTGTTAGTGGTCCATAGAGAACTTTGATCACATGTGCGGAAACCCCTGCAACAATTAATCTCAAGGATGTGTACAGAATGAGATCATGAGGTTAATGAGCATGGGCATTCAAAAGAGCTATGACCAATGAACAATAAGATCTTGTAAGCAGCATGAGTATTGTATAAAAATTTGATGCAAGTAAACAGATATCAATGATAATGAGATTATCACATCCAAACATACATAAGGCAAAAACACTTTCACCTACTCTAGTAACAAGTAACACTCTAGTGATCGAGCATGACACCCAAGGTCTTTCTAAGGAACTCAAACCGAAGAAGATCAAGGGGTTTTGTAAAAATATCAGCTTTTTGATGCTCAGTGGGAATATGCTCAAGAACAACAAGGCCCTCTTCCACTAACTCTCGAATAAAATGATGACGAATGTCAATGTGTGTGGTGCGAGAGTGTTGGACAGGATTTTTTGAAATGTTTATGGCACTTGCGTTATCACAGAAAAGAGTAAGAGTGTTCTGTACTATCCCATAATCATGAAGCATTTGCTTCATCCACAACATTTGAGCACAACAACTCCCTGCAGAAATGTACTCAGCCTCAGCAGTAGAAAGAGAGATGGCATTTTGCTTTTTACTATGCCAGGAAACCAGATTATTCCCAAAGTAAAAACACCCCCCGGATGTACTTTTCCTATCATCAGCACATCCTGCCCAGTCGGCATCAGAAAAACCAGTAATTTCGGCTGTAGTGTCAGTGGAAAACCAAACCCCATACCCCAAAGTCCCATTAACATACTTGATGATGCGTTTTACCGCAAGAAGGTGAGACTCTTTAGGACTGGCTTGGTAACGAGCACAGACACCGACACTGAAAGAAATATCAGGACGACTGGCTGTAAGATACAAAAGACTCCCTATCATACTCCTATAAAGGGTAGGATCAACATCAATACCAGAGGAATCTTTGGAGAGGTGAAGACTGGTGCTCATGGGAGTGCGTGCATGTTTGGCAGACTCAAGACCAAACTTAGACACAAGATTTCTCGCATACTTAGACTGAGACACAAAAATACCTGAAGGAGACTGTTTAATCTGAAGACCCAAAAAATAAGACAACTCTCCCATCATGCTCATCTCAAACTCAAGTGTCATGCAATCCGAAAAATATTTCACAAGATGTTCAGCAGTGGATCCAAACACAATATCATCAACATAAATCTGACCAACAAGAATATGAGACTTAGTATGTTTCACAAATAAAGTCTTATCCACACTACCCCTTTGAAAATCATTATCAAGAAGAAATGTAGTGAGTCTATCATACCAAGCACGAGGGGCTTGTTTCAATCCATACAAAGCCTTGTCTAACTTGTAGACATGATTAGGGCATTTAGGATCCTCAAACCCTTTCGGTTGCTCAACATATGCCTCTTCTCTCAAGTACCCATTCAAAAAGGCACTTTTCACATCCATTTGAAACAATTTAAAGCCAAGAAAACATGCAACACCAAGCAAAATACGAATAGATTAAGCTACATGAGAATGTACACCTCAAAATCCCAAATGAGAGCTCACATAAAAAAGTGTGTGTGTGCAATACATGAGAGGTCACTGAGCTAGAGTTAATCCTAGTAGTGATCGGATGGCTGGACCTCCATCAAGAGTAACTCAACAATACAGAGAAAAGTCAAACCACTAGGAATCACGGGGTATTTGTTGAGTAAATGCGGAGGCTCCCCCTAAATCAATGAGTCCTTTTTTTTTTCTTTTTTTTATTTATTTATTTATTTT